AATAGCTTGAATATTTATCAATTGGCGGAACAGATCGGTTCTTCTCAGTCTTGCGGGCTACGTCAAAACCGAGGTGTCTGACGGTATCCGTAAACGCAGTCACGGATAAAGCTGGAGAACCCATTTACGCGTGCTACACGAGAGTTTCGCATTCACGTCACCCACAAATCATGGTAACAAGGTCAAAGGGATCCCGATTCTCACATTAGAAATCAACCGCTAGAGTCTTATTCAGTCCCAGGCAGAACCTGATTGTTCATTCAGTTGACCAGGACCGCAAGTGCATCGTGCTAGCTTTGAGCCATATTCGTTCGTGTGCAGGGTAAAAAGTTAGATGCCGAGCCCGAACTGGATGGGTCCCACTCTCCCTTTCCCCTCCTATGGACCAATGATCTATCAGGGCTGGGCAAGTAAATAAGTGCAACTGATGACGTAGCTTGAGGCGTCACTCAATCAGTGGCACGTGCAGTATCCAAGGGCAAACTAGTGGATTAATTTAATTTAACGCATCAGCCCAAAGGTGCAGTGCGACATGCTAATCGCTATAACGATTAACGTGTACCGGGCCTCCGTCCTTTCAGTTTTTCTTTATAGTTTAAATGCTAGACCATGTATGTGGAAGATTAACGAAAACTGAAGGCGTTTGGCCACCACTGCATCCTTCGAATGAAATACCCTTGGTTCCGAATGAGACGGTGCGTATTCGCAAGGATATATCCGGCCATTACGCATAACAGTTGTGGTTTGGGCACGTTCTTCGTCGCCCGCCTCGTTAGCTGCCCGTCACTATCCTCGATCCGGTGCCGTTGTATATCTGGAGGCATCGGAGAGGTCACCTCAAAATCTGACTCGGCACAGTTCGTTTAGTCAGGAAAGCGGGGTTCTGTGTACGGTCTCCGTCGCTGGAGACGAGAATGCGTCGAGCTATGTAAATCCACTGCGTCAAAAATAGTCGCGCATGGACAGTGACAATTCGCGCCATTTTCAAGACCGTCTAGCTCAAACATGATCGCAACTCTGCCGGGTACAAGTGAATCTAACATACCAACGACGTACCTTGTCCCGGGACCCCACTGCGTTGTCGTACATGCCCAAAAG